ATCAACAGAGCCTGTAAGAGGAGGACACAGCAGCTAGAGACAAAGCCCAGGAGGGAGCCTGACAAGGAAAAAGCTTGGGACTGGGTGTTGGCAAGCCCAGAACGAGATTTTACTTTTGCGCCCAGGACTCACCTGTACTCCCAGGAGACAAAGGGCTACACTGCAGAGGAGACTTGCACCCATGGTGGCATCGAAGTAGCAAAAGGATGAGGCTTTTCCATGTCCCATCAGCAAGCAACCTCCCTGTGACGTGATTGCTTTGCAGACTCATAATCCTTATGTTACTGCTTCACGTTACAGGACAAAACCACTTCGTGGTATCAGAAGGAAAGCTTTTCTCCTTGCTCAGTAAATACAGTTTATATTTTATTCATTTTAAAACAGTCATTTAAAAAACATTTTATATATATTTTTACTAATAGAAACTGTATACATGTATATTTAAGAAGTTAGAAAATAAAACACCATTTCACTACCAAAGATGATCACTGTTAACATCTTAGTGATATTCTTTCCAGATTTCTCCCTCCATCTCCTCTTTATGTGTGTGAGTGTGTACATAGACGTATTCTTTTTGATAAAAATACACCAGTCTGTAAATGCCATTTTATATATTTTTTTCAGTTAACGATCATCATCTCTCCGTGACAATGCATTCTCATTTTACAGACCATCTAGTTTTTATTTAAAGTTTAGCAGTTGTCTGAAAAATGTCCTTCATCATTGATTTGAACATCAGTTTCTGACTCAGGACTGGGCACTGCTTTTGGTGATTAATTATCTAATTATCTTTTACTATAATGCAGATCCCTGTTCTTACTGTTTTCGTGATTCTGAGACGAGCCACTGCTTTGCAGAATGTTTCACGTTCTTGATATTTCTAGCGTATTTTAGCTGGTTCATTTGTTGGTGTTTATTTTAGACAACCTCTCTTTTTCTTCCCTGATTTTTCTCTCCATCGCCCTGTATTTTAAATAGTGCACTTCTTTTTTCAAGATCTATTTTTGCTCACTCTCTTCTTCCTTCATCCCATCGCCATTCCAGGTAAGTAATGTTAACAGCCTAGATGTCTCCTTACTCATTCAATTGTTCAATGAAGTTGTTTTCTCCAAATTAAAAAGTAGATATTTTATATGTACACAAGAATTTGATAACATATCAATAAAATGAGCATTTGAACAAATAACACCTCTTGAGAAATAAAATGTTGCCAGTCTTTGAAATCTCTTTTTTCTTTCCCAAATATAATGCCCCTCCACTCCCTGTCCTCTAACTCTATCAAGGTGTTTGTGTTTATCTTTTTTTACTTTCAATTTATATTTTAATACATAGGTGTATAACTAAACAAAAGTGTGTATTTTTGCAAGCTTTAAACTTTATACAAATGGGGCAATGCTGTATATATCTCTTGCAATGCAATTTTTCACTCAATATTATGAAATTCAATCATATTGATGTGTTTAATTTTAGTTCATTCATTTTCACTGCCTTATAATTTCTTTATAGTAATACACCATCATTTATTTATCCATCCTTCTGTTGGTGTACCTTTGGGTATTTCACAGTTTTTTGCTATTACCAGGTAGTATTATACTGAATATACTTGTACTTGTGCCCTGGTTTACATATAAGACTTCATCTAGAAAAGAGTTTTTCAGGTAACTAAAATATCATTTCCCAGCATTGAGTTATAATTTGTGCAATGAGTGTGAATTCATTGCATAATATACTTTCTTCTCAAGAGTCTTAGATAATTGAGTATGTGATCATAAATCAATTATTTCTTAATGAATGCTGTTATTTTGGTAGATAACTTTATTTTATTTTTACATCCGAGGTCATCTGTAATAAAGACACTTTCATGATGAAACGTTTGGTTGGAGTCTGGTGGCTTAGAAACAGTTGCTGCCCCCTTGTGGAGGAAAGGCATGTGTGTGTGCGTGCGTGTGTGCGTGCATGTATGTGCGTGTGTGCTCACGTGCGCGCGCGTGTGTGTGTGTGTGTGTGTGAGAGAGAGAGAGAGACAGAGAGAGAGAGAGAGAGGGAGAAGAGAAATGAAAATGATGTAATGATTTAGAATGAGCATCATTAGAAAGTGCAGCATGTGCATAGAACTCAGAGAAAGAATCCTGCTGACGGGTTGCTTCCAATGACTGGGTTTAGGCTTCAGGCTTTCAGCAAGATCTGCAAAGTTGAGCATCTCATCTTCATATGGGAGCTTTTACCGTTGTTGGTACCATAGGCCCCTTTGGCAATCTGGTAAATCCTTAGGACCCCTTCTCAGAATAAAGCTGTAAACCCATAAAATAGAATGCATAATATTACAAGGGAAACCAACTATTTTGAAATGTAGTTACCAAAATATTTTTTCAAAATTTGTGATATATTAATATGCATACATCTTTAAAATTCATTAAATTAAATATATCCTGGCAAGTCTAAAAACTGCTGTGATTTCAAAATAGTGATGAGGGTAAATGATGTTTACTCTATGTAATGTGATATGAAAATAACATGACTTTCATATCAACTATGATATATGCAAATGTCTGTGATTTCTATCATTGTCACAAGTACTCCTAAGATTGCTGTGGTTTATTCACTATTTCTATCATGAACAGAATGCTGTATTTTAGTTAGAGATTAGTGAAAATAAAGATAAATTCTTCCCATTCAAAATCATAGATACCTTCAATTCTATCTATCCACCCCTTGGAGGCCTATGGGCCCCAGGTTAAAATTTTCTGCTTTAGAAGAGAATATGCTTAATGCTGAAATCCATGAACAGGAAGAATTAGAAAGTTCACATATCCTCAGAAATAGTTTACCCACATATGCAATCTCAAATTTGTCAAAGGTGTCCTGATTAAAAACAAAAGGAAAAACATTTAAACCACTTCTTTAGACTGAATACAGGAAATCATGACAATGACAGGTACTTACTATGATTGTATCTGGTCCTGGAAACATGACACATTTCTATAATCTACCTTTCTGTATATGATCTTCGTTATCAGTTACTTTCATCATCATCATCATCAACATCCTCATTATCGTGATGTATATGTGATTCTCAGGGGCATTATTGCAATAGAAAAATGACAGGGACACAGTACGATAGAGATATACTTTCCGCCATGAAGTACTGAGGCTTTATGCTAAGGAATCCTGTAATCAATCAGAAATAATATCCCCAAAATGGAATAGCAAAAAGATCTACACAGATTATACTTTAAAATAATCCCTTACAATAGTATGTTACTAATTCTGAGATACTTCAGATCTCAATGAATGGTAATATATGCATTATTCTTATTGACAGAATTTTAGACAGATCTAGTGTGTTCAAGATCCTTGTTGCATTCATTGTGAAGTTGTGTCATGTTTCAGAGGTAGCTCAAAGGAGTAAATAATGAAAAAACATTACATTGCTCGACACCTTTTCCCATATTGCAAAAGAGTCCACTGTCTGCTCCCATTCTGTGGCTCTAACGAGGTAAATCTTCATCTGGAATCCTCATATATTTTCAAAAGAAACACTGAAAGGATAAACCAAGTAAATAATAAAAATGGTTACCTAAAGGAGAAAAAAGAAATTGGGTAAAGGAGACAAAGAGAAAGCAAGAGCAAGATGAGTCATTTCTGCCCCAATAGATTGCTCATTGTATTAAAAGTAAGCAATCTAAACAATCCAGTCAAAACAAAGAGATTGCCAATGTGGATACTCAAAGCTAAGGAACACTGAATTGATTTGCTAGGAGGATGAGGAGAAAGACCACCCTGTCTGCAGGACTCCAGGCCTGATGAAAGGCCCACAGCAGGAACAAGAAGACACTGACAGACTTCACCAGCAGAGCTGTAACACCCGAATTCTCCCCTCCAAATGACGTGCTTAAGTGTAAACATTCCCTTTAATTATTCTTAATTCATTGGTTTATATTTACAAGCAAAACGTAGATCTTCTTAAAGTGCACTTTGCAGAAATTTCACAACTTTTTCGATATGTTTCAATTAGTATATTTTACATTAAACCAGAACAGTAGGAACACTTGGTTCACTCAGGAGATGAGGCTGACGTGAGCTCACGTGTGGTGGCTGGCGAACACTGACTTCTGGAGAAGATATTTTTATGTAACATACCGAGGTTGAGATGTCAGTTGAGATGTAAAGACTAAATTAAATTGTGTTAATGCAAAATCTTGGCATAAAATATTTTAATAAATAAATTCCTTATGAGTATTAAGAGTACATTCATAATACATTTCTAAAAATAAATTTAGGAGAAATTCAACAATGTATGTGCAAGACGTGTACAATAAAAAATTACAAAACAATGCTGAGAGAAATTGACAAAGACCTTGATAAAGGAGCATGGAAAGATTTTTTGGGGAAAGGGAAATGTTCTGTATCTTGATTGTCATGCTGTTTACATGGGTGTAAATATTTGTCGAAATGTATTGAAATATATATTTAAATTGGGTGCATTTTACCGTGTATATGTTATGCCTCAACAGAGTTGCTTTTCAAAGTTGCATGATGGTAGTATTCCAGGGGGAGGGAGGAGCTGAGTTTCCCACTGAGATTCTATGGCAGGGACAGCTGTGAGAAGCAGTCATGAAACCTTAATGAGTCTCTGGGTCTGGTTCAATGGAATGTGCTGGGCCAGAGGATCAGGGTCCTCAGGAAAGACAGCTGACCTGCCTGTTATCCTTATTCCTGAAGGCTTTGCCACAGGTTTGCCAGGTGGAAAACACAGATTCCATATTTTTAAAAGATAGCTAGAAATCCCTCAAGCTCATGGGAAAAAAAGGGTATCTTGGGTCTTCCCTTTGCCAGATATCCTGCAAACTGAAGAATCTGAGCCCCCTTACATCTTCCTTCCCCTTCCTTGGGTTTCTTGCCCCCATAAGCTGTTTTAAACATTCTTTTCTGGTCACCTAGAGCTGCCATTTACACGTTTTTCCTTCTGGTTTATGCTCTTTCAAGTTGGTTTCTGTTAGTTCCTGTTCACCTAACACACCACTATTTCCTGAGCTGGGTCCACGATGAGTTTGTGTGCTAAGAAAAGCTCACATTCAGCACTGTGGATTCACTGCTGGCACAGAAATACAGTGCAGAGTCTCCTGGCTCAGTGGACTTGATTTCCAGGCTGCAGGATGCATCTTGGGGGCATTGAGCTGAGAATTGCTGATCAAACCCTTCTATTTTATCCGTAATCTTTCCATTGCCTAAGTAAACCAAAAAGTCAAACTCTCCTTCCAGCTTCTGGCGATACCAATAAACATAACTATGTGTTTTTACGGGGACACAATCCATCTTTGCTTTCTGTTCTTTTCCTTTGACCAGATGTCCAGGACTCTGGGTGACCTTAGTGTCCATGGAACCTGTGGAAGAAAAAGACAAAAGGCAGAGAAAGGACCCAGGAGGGAGCCTGGTACCCAGCAGCCCCAGGAGCAAGTCCTGAAACTGGAATCGGACATGTTCACAACAGGAACTCACCTGCTCCCCAGAAAAAAAGGGCCACACAGCAGAGAAGTCTGCACTGCATGGCTGGCTCAGGGAAAGTAATGGCAAGTGGCCTTTGCTCTAAGGCTTCCTCATATCCCATCAGCCTCCTCCTCCTCATTTAGTGGCTTCCCATTGTCTTCACAGTCTCCATGTACAGGAGACTATAACACTTGACAGGATGTGGGAGGGCAGGCAGAGCTGGCGAAAACAACTAGTGTGAATTTCAAACTGCCTTTATTTTCTTTTTCCCTGACTCTGCTCCTTCATTTTTTTAAGTAATATCACTTACACATCATTTATTTATTTGCTTTTTAAACATGTTAATGTGCCTCCTCCCTTCCATCTCAGGAAATACATCATACAGCTTGGTATATATCAATCATAGCCTTCACCACATTTATAAAATCAAATAGCATTGACTTTACAATAAAAAATTAAATGCTGAGCTATCGGAAACAATATCTATGAGAAATATCCAATGCCCCTAGGAAACAATAAAATGCATATTCTTTCCTGAACCAGTCAGTTTAGGAGATAGATTATAACTGAGAAGTTTTAAGCCTCTGTGTTATTCTTCCAGATTTCATTTTTCTTTCTCCACCACGTCCAGGAGACCATAATCCTGAAGTTTATATTTTTATTCATTTGCTTTTCATTATAGTTTTTAGCATTTATGTAAGAACCTGTAAATTATTATTTAATGTTGTATGTCTGAAATTTATCTAAAGGGGATCATTCTGTTCACACTTTTTTCTGTGACGTTCTTTTTCTCTTCAACATTATGTCTGTGATATTAATTCATGTTGATGGATATAATTTTAGATGATTCATTTTCAATAATGATTCCATTCTCTTTGTTTGCTAAAATTTGTTATCCATTCTTGAATTAAAGCTCACTGTTTTTTTTCCTATGTTTTTTCTCAACTGTAACAGGACTGAATTCTTTTACATTTCTCTGCATATCTAGGTGCAGGATTTTCTCTATTCCTGGGAATTAAAGATTGAGACTTAGTGAAACCACATCAACTTTACATAATATGACAAAATTCTTTTCAAATTAAAATAAATAGTCTCATCATCATTTCAGCCATGTTTTTAAATGTTCCACATCTAGCATCCAGTTGGAATGTAATATCCTTTTAATTTTGTCTATTAGGTTAAAGTCGTATTTCACTGCAGTTTTAGTTTGCATTTTTATGATTTCTAAGGAGGTTGAATATATTTTTGCATATTTATAGGCCACTCATGTTTTCTGTAAAGCTCTCTTTGTCCATACTTCTTTTTGGATGATTAGCTTTTGTTTAACAGTGCTTTATATATTCTGGAAACCAAACCTTTGTCAGTTACATGTATTGCCAATATGTTTCCAATTTTTGACTTGTGTTTTCACTCTTATTGTAATTTTTTTTGTTGAATTTCATATTTTGGTAGTTTATCGTTCTCTTTTTGGGGGGCTATGCATTTTTAACTTCTTTATAAAAAATGCTCCCATAGGACAAGTTCATAAAGATATACTCTCATATTATTTACCATGAAAATTAACATTTTGAATGTTGCATTTAAGCACTTAATCCAGGTAGAATTCATTTTTGCACATGCTGTGAAGAAGGGTTTAAATGAATCTTTCCTTGTGTGGATGACCACTTGTCCCAGACTCACTTATTGTATATTCCATCATTGCCCCACACACCTGCAATGATGGCCCTATCATATATTAAGTGCTTATATAGGCATGGGCCTATTTTTAATCTATTATTTTCCATTTTTATATTTGTTTATGCTTTTTTTGTTACCCTAAATTATAAAATAATTTGGTGATTGGTAGGGGAAATTATCTCACTTTAAACTTCTTCAATACTATCTTGCCTATTTTTGTCCCTCTTTTCCACTTAAATTTCAGATGATTTTAGTCAAATTTCATGAAAAAATATCTTTGGTGATTCTGATTAGTGCTGCATTGAATTTGTAGATGGCATTTGCAGAAATTGGAATACTCTTACCATTGGGTTTACTTACTCATGATCATGGTATATATCTCAGCATATATCAGATTTTTTAAAATGTCTTCCTCTAAAATGTTAATAATTTTCTATATTAAAGTTTTTCTGGGGTCGGGTCCATGGCCGAGTGGTTAAGTTCGCGCGCTGCGCTGCGGCAGCCCAGGGTTCAGATCCTGGGCGTGGACATGGCACCGCTCCTCAGGCCACATTGAGGCGGTGTCCCACATCCCACAACTAGAAGGACCTGCAACTAAGATATACGACTATGTACCGGCGGGGGGGGGGGGAGGGGGGTTGGGAAATAAAATAGGAAAAAGAAAGATTGGCAACAGTTGTTAGCTCAGGTGCCAATCCTTAAAAAAAAAAAGGAAGATTGGCAGCAGTTGTTAGCATAGGTGCCAATCTTTAAAAAAAAAAAGTTTTGCTTATCTACTAGTATATTTTTTAGGTGTTTTATATTTTATGTCACTATTTGTAAATGGTCTCTGTTTAAAAATATATCTTTCAACTCTTGCTATTATATGGAAATAAAACTGATGTCTTATATTTATATTGAATTCCATAAACTTATTAAATTTTGCTATTAATAATTCAAAGCTTCTATAGATTCCTTTGGATCATTCTCTAAACTTGTCATCTGTCAATAATCACTTCTTTCTCTTTCCTTTCTTATTCTTACCCTTTTCTTCTTGTTCCAGTGATTGGAGATTCAGCACAAAGTGGAATAGAAATGGTGGTGAGATTTATTTGCTTATTTATCAATTATGTATGAATTGGACAACTACAGATACTGGATATGTGGTAAAGGCTATGAAGGTTACAAAGTGTAAGATTGGATCCTGCTATTTCAAGGACCCACTGGTGTCCCAGGATACCTGCAAATCATTCTCCCAACCAGTGTCTAACATATCTCACCTGAGGGACCTGAAGGATCTACGAACTTCTCTTCTCAGGTGAAGGAAGAGCTGAGCCTGCTCTTTATGCTCCAGGGGTATTTTACAGAAAGACCCACATCACCCCCTAGTGGTCATGGGGCAAATTCATCAGATGCCCTCTGACCTCTCACTGCCTTCACCTTCCAGGTGAATGGGGAGCTGAGTGGGGAGTTGCCAGCTCCAAGCTGTGAAGCAGCATCCAGGCACCTCGTGTATCAGAGAGGAATTAGGAAATAAGCAGTGCTTGGTGCGGTAACCTGCGCGTAATGCTTAGAATTGTTACAGGTAATTAATTATATAATCACTCAGTCGCTAATCTAATATTGATTGATGGCTTATCGGTATAATTTGCATTCTCAATCTTTTCTAACTACCATTCAATGCGAGCATGCTCTTTAAGTCTCTCTCCTAAATCCTCTGCCCTTTTCTTTGTATCTTCTGTCACCAAGGGATCCTAAGCACTTTCATTCTTCCAATTATGCCAGATGTCCTGAATTTTTACCTCTCATCCACATCCATTTTCTGAGTCCATGTCTTGTACATGCCACTGCTGTCTGTACGTTTCCAGTCAGTTTTCTGCCTCAAAGTCACCCCGAATCTCAATAAATTGTGGTCTTCCCTCTGGGTCCTCCGAATCCATCTGGCTATGGTAGTCTTCTTCAATCCTCCCTGTCTATTGCCTCTCATGTCTAATCAATTACCAAGTCCTTTGTTTTTACCTTCCAAACATCTTTTAAATCTCTCATTTCCTTGTGTGTCTATCAATACCATCCTCATCCTAGCTGCACTTTCACTTGCCTGGGCGAACGCATTGGCTCTTTTCTCTGCATCAGCTCTTTCCACACTGATGGTGAATTTTTCACACCGTAGCCAGGGCAATTAAGAAGACACACGTGGACCTTGAGGGAATTACGTTAAGTGAAATAAGCTAGATAGAGAAAGACAATCTCTGTATGACTCTACTCACATGTGGAAGTTAAACGTGTAGTCAAAGAGAACAGATAAGTGGCTACCAGGGGAAAGGAGGGGTGGGGGGTGGGCACAAAGGGTGAAGGGGTGCACCTACAACACGACTGACAGACAATAATGAACAACTGAAATTTCACAAGGTTGTAAACTATCATAAACTCAATAAAAATTTAAAAAAAGACACACATGCATGCACCCACACCCCCACCTACACCCACACAAACATACAACAACAACAAACACTAATCTGATTGCTACAAAAGTCAAATATCCTAACCTCAATGGCAGGGCAAGTTGTATGTGAGAACTCTCTGTACTTTCCACTTAATTTTCCTATGAACCTAAAATTGCTCTAAAAAATAAAGACTAGTTAAAAAACACTCAGTGACTGCTATTACATTTTATATTAAATTCCATGTCATATACTTTGATTTATAAGGTAAGGAAGGGTCTGATGTCTGATGTCTGCCCACCTCTCTCCAGTTTCACCTTGTGCTCGCCCCCTTCGTCTTTGCTCCTGCCCCATCACTACATCTTTCCATTCATTAAGCACACCGATTTCTGTACTACCTGAAAAATTTTGCACTGGATCTTCCATCTTTATTAACTGACTATCAGTTCATTATCCCAGGTCCCACTTAATAACCTCCAGTTCATCTTCAAGATGTCATCTCAAATGTGACTTCCTCTAAGAAACCTGCTCTGTGACTCTTTTAGGTCTCTGTGTGTCATAAGCAGTGGCAAATGGATTCAGTGTCACTCAATGCCCTGTCTGTGCCTCACTGACACAAGGCCAGAGACGCTGGATCCCAACAAATATTCTCTCCCATGAGTTTAACAGAGACTTAGAGATGGAAGGTAGTGGTAGAGGATCTTTATGCCTGACTTTTAGAAAGAAGGCTTCTGAGCTCCTGTAGCTTAGAAATATGAGACTAGGATTTTTGTTCTTACTCAGCTGCGTTTGATGGTCTCTTCTCTCATCCCTCTGACCTCATCCGGCATCTGCACAAACAATTCCCTTTAATGTGGAAGTTAGTGTTTTAAGGAGCCCTTTTCTCCTGTATTGTATCTGGTTTGCTTTCCTTTTGTTTATTTTTAGCCTTATTGTAATTGAGTTACTGTACACAAAGTTGCACATATTTAATGTATAGAATTTGATGAGTTTGGAGATATGCATACACCCCTGAAACCATCACCACAATCAATGTAATAGATGTATCTATTCCCTCCCAAATTTTCCTAGTGTCTCTTTGTTTTTGTTTTTTGTGGTATGACCACTTAACATGAGATCTACCCTCTTAACAAATTTTTAAGTGCACAGCACAGTATTGTTATCCAAAAGCCTACGTTGTACAGCTATGTCTTACAGAAGATCTCTAGAAAGCATTCATCTTGCATAACTGAAACTTTATATCAGTTTAACAACTCCTCATTTCCCCTTCCCTATAGGCCCTGGCACCCCACTATTCTATCGTTTTGCTTCCACAAGTCTGGCTACTTTAGATACTTCATATAAGTGGAATTGTGCAGTATTGATCTTTCTGTGACTGGTTTATTTCACTGAGCATGTCTTCTGGGTTCATCCA